CATGTGTTAATGGGTTCGAAATCTACCCAAGTGTGGAATCCACCTCTCTGAAATTAGATTGCCGTCGATTCGATGAGGGATGGCAATCGAAGCCCGTCGGTGATTGGCACTCGATTACGAAGCAGAAACCGATGTTAAATAAAAGAAGTAAGAAGAATAAGTATATGAATAAATCTGGAACAATCATCAACGCATTGATCTATTACCAATGGTTCATCTTCTACTCGCTCGGTCGACATCGCGTACGATCTTACGAAAAACATTGACTGGCGACAATTCGCGATGCCAGTCAATCGGTTGAAATACTTCCTCCACTGGACGAGCACAGACGAAACGTGTTCCGGGTGTTTCCGTTCGCAAGCGACCTCCCACCCCGTGGTGGGATAAGGATTGCACCGACGCGAACAGCGAGAAGTCCGCCGCGTTTAAACGCTTCCGCAAACACGGTAAGGTCGGGGATTTCGAGCGGTACACCGACCTCGAGAAAACCTTTAAGGGCTTGACTAAAGCCAAAAAACGCGGTTACTGACGTCAATTCGTCGATGGTTTGTCGCGAGAGACTTCCATGAGAACACTCTGGAATGTCGGCAGGAGAATACGAAACACGTCATCACCGGTTAACGAAGACAAGGAGTACTCAGACAGTTGGATATTCAGCTTCGCACGGAAAGTTTGCCCGGATTCGGTGTCGGTTCAAACCAACGTTTGTGATCGTCCGTCGTGTAGTAACGAAATAGATTCCCCAGTTTCGATGGTGGAATTCTCACTTGCTCTTCTCTCATGTAACAACTCAGCTCCAGGAATGGATAGAATCAAGTTCCACTCCCAGACGTCGCGAAGAGACGCTTGTTGAACTTATTCAATCAATTTCTGGAGCACAACATTGTTCCGGATGACTGGAGGCAAGTAAGGGTTATCGCCATTCGAAAACCCGGTAAACCCGCGTCGGATTATAACTCGTACCGTCCCATCGCGATGCTGTCCTGTAAACGGAAATTGTTGGAGAAAATGATTCTTTTTCGTCTAGACAAATGGGTCGAGTCGAATGGTTTACTTTCAGATACGCAATTTGGATTTCGGAGAGGCAAAGGAACGAGCGACTGTCTTGCGTTGCTTTCAACTGATATTCAACTGGCCTATGCGCAAAAACAGCAAATGGGTTCAGTTTTCTTGGACATTAAGGGGGCTTTTGATTCTGTTTGTATCGATGTCCTTTCAGATAAACTCCACGATAGTGGGCTTTCACCAATTATGAACAACTATTTGAGCAACTTGTTGTCTGAGAAATATATGAGTTTCTCTCATGGAAACACGACAACTTCACGAATTAGTTACATGGGTCCCCCCCAGGGCTCATGTTTAAGCCCCATTCTTTATAATTTTTATGTAAAAGACATTGATGGTTGTCTTGATGACAATTGCTCGCTAAGGCAGCTTGCAGATGACGGCGTTGTGTCTGTTATAGGGTCGAGTGCACCGGACCTGCAAGGACCATTGCAAGATACCTTAGTCAATTTGTCTACTTGGGCTATGAAGCTGGGTATCGAATTCTCTCCGGAGAAAACTGAGTTGGTTGTTTTTTCTAGGAAGCATCATCCTGCACAGTTACAGCTTCAGCTAATGGGTAAACCAATCACTCAAAGTACATCTTTCAAGTATTTAGGTGTCTGGTTCGATTCCAAAAGCACGTGGGGAAAACATATTGCGTATGTGAAACACCCGGAAGATCTGATCAGGTTGTCGGTCCTAGAGTACGGTAGCTTCTGCTTTCAATCCACGGCAAAAACACACATCGTGAAGCTGCAACGGGTCCAATACCGTTGCCTCCAAATCGCGCTTGGCTGTATGCACTCGACGCATACGATGAGCCTAGAAGTATTCGCGGGTGTTCTCCCACTGACAGATCGTTTCGCGGAACTGTCCTTCCGGTTTCTTATCCGTTGTGAAGTAATGAACCCATTGGTAATAGAAAACTTTGAGAAGCTGCTGGACAGAAATCCTCAAACAAGATTCATGAGTCTCTATTACGAGTACATGACGCTGGAGATTGGCCCTTCTTCATTCAATTCCTCTCGTGTTTGCCTCCAAGACTTTTATAGTTCCTCTGTAAATTTTGATCTGACCATGTTGCAAGAAATCCGTGGAGTACCAGATCACCATCGGTCGATGGTTGTTCCCTTAATTTTTGCAAACAAGTACCACCATGTCAGTAACAATAAGACTTTTTCCACAGATGGGTCAACCATAAACGCTTCCACTGGATTTGGAGTATTCAACGAATTTCAAAGCGCCTCATATCAACTGCAAAAACCCTGTTCCGTATACGTTGCGGAACTAGCAGCCATATTCTATGCAGTAGAGCAAATTGCCTCGCTATCATCTGATCACTATTTTATTTTTACTGATAGCCTTAGCTCGTTGGAGGCTATTCGATCAATGAGGCCGATGAAGCACTCCTGACCGAAATCCGAGCTAAATTGAGTACTTTATCTAAGTGTTTCTTTACCATCACTTTAGTCTGGGTCCCATCTCATAGCTCTATTCCGGGTAACGAGAAAGCGGACTCGCTAGCTAAGGTGGGCGCTATGGAAGGCGATATTTTTGATCGACAAATCGCCTTTGCGAAATTTTTCTCAATTACCCGTCAGCACGTCCTCACCAACTGGCAACAAAAATGGAATGAGAGTGATCTGGGAAGATGGTTACATTCTATTCTCCCACAGGTATCGAACAAGCCGTGGTTCAAAGGATTGGACATGAGCCGTGACTTTATACGTCACATTTCCTTTATACGGCTCATGTCCAATCACTACTCGTTAGACTCGCATTTCTTTTGTAACCCAAACGATGAATATCGGCTCCGCAAAGCTACGGCAAATGAGCCTGGAAAAATAAACGCATTATAAAAAAAATCAATGCATTGATGATTGCAATGGCTTAACAATCATGGACTTGTAGGAAACTTCTAATAATGAATAGCTCCATTCAACTGAAAAAAACTCTGTATATGTTTTCCTTTTTTTTAAATGAACCCCTGAGTCGAGATCACGTCTCCCCAAAACCATGCGAATGTGTCACTACAGACACTTGAAAACAAATCAAGATGACTCCTATCAATTGCACCATCGAATCATGCTCGTTTCACTCTTACGGCCCATGTTTCAATTTTTTTTTTTTGGTGTAGTTACATTTGCAGGTGAAAGCGAGGCCAAAATCGAGGCCACCCGGCCCAAAGGGTTGACTGCTGTTGTTGGTACCTACAACACTACCGTCGAACCGAACCGAACCGAACCAACCAACCATCAAAGGCATTTCCCGCATATTTCAGTGAGGTTGTCAGTTCCTTCCATGCCTCGATTCCACCACCCGTAACCCATCGGAAATCGAACGCTGCCGGCTGATGGCGCGCAGTGGAAGAAGGGAATGGATGGGTCCTACCCCGGGAAGGGGATGAGCAGCAGACGATTGTACATTGGCGCGATTTTTACCTCGTCCTGCTCGGCTTCCCTGGAGGCACGTGTGTTCACTGTTATGAAAATATTCTCCGCGTTTTTACGTCGTCGGTTTCCGCCATCCCGTCGTCGCGTTCCAAACCGTGTAGGTACGTGTGTGGCGTGTTCTCCGATGCGCTTCCATTTTTTTCCCACCCCTCGCTTTTTCACCAGCACCAACCAATTGATGACTTAAAATCGCATTTGAATGTTTGAAAATTTTAAATATTCGACAGGAAGCATGTAAAAAAGCGACCGGCAAAATCCACACACCCGCACTCACTCACAACTATTTTTGACAGCTGCTTTCTCCGCGGTTGTCTCTCGGCTGTGAAGCTCTTTTTTCCGCCTTTGATTGCTTTCCGGGGGAAGGGCACTCTGAATTAGCCATCAGCGGACATTTTAGCAAGAGGGCTGCTGGCCAAAAAAGGCATGAACAAATTTTACTTTAATGCTTCATGGTCGTGTAGGTGTGCCTCGAAATCGGGGAGTTGGTGAAAAATTGATTTTCCGGTAATTTTTAACCCCTCTCAGAGCCGATCACCGCAGGAGCACATGCCCAATTGCAGAAGAAAGGGTTTAATGACATTTTCATAAAAATCACGTCATCGACGACACAACCGACGCTTGATGGCTGCAGCGCCATGGACGGCAAATAATATTAAAAATAAAGTATAACAAAAAGGGACAGACACACACACACACAATTATGGAAAAATTGGCGCGTGTGCCAGTCAAAATTCTGTGGCATTGGATGTAACAACATTTCAATGAATGTCAATTCCAATAAATGCCGCGTTCCATCCGTCAACCAGAGTAAGAGAAGAGAAAAAAAAAAGTCAACTCCAATGCAATGTGGGACGCCAACGACGACGCCGGCGATGACGACGGACAGCACAGAATAATACAATTTAATGATGATACAAATTGAATGAAATTAAACCATAATAAAAATCGGCTTCTGATTGAATTCGAGAATATTTTGAGGACAAAAACTGATTAACCGTTTCCAAGGCGGATGGACGGATCCACCAAGGCTGCCCGCATGACTAATTGAATGCTGTGATTGTTCTGAGTGCTTTTGTCACTTATGGCTTCTGTTATTTGAACCGTTATGTGTTGTTGGATGATAAAACTGATAAAATCATCCGAAACGATTTCTACACTATCCCGAAGTCTACACTATCCAATTCCAGCTCCAATCGATTCGGTGGACATTTTTACATAACAAATTATGTGTTTTATGTCTAAAATCTAGCAGCAATTTTCAAATCTGTTATTATAGTCTGAGGTTGTTATGTTTTCATACACAAATCAACGTTTCTGTACACACTGGCTTCCGCACCTGAACAGACTGGCAGCACTGAGTGTTTTTGACATATGTACCTCTCTTTACCCTTCAGTTTAAAACATGTGCTTTTATCGAATAAACGTAATTTTCCTAATCAGTAATAAACGTTAGCATTACCATTATTCAATATTTGAAAGTGGTGTCAGAAGTTGGATAAAATGTCCATTCCAGCGGAGGTGCTACAGAGCCTTACTACTGTTTTCACCAATGCGCTAAAAGCAGCAGTTCAGGAAGTTTCAGCAGCAGCAGCCGGCGGTGCCAATGCAGCACAAGAAGGAGACTCAAAACCAGCAGCTTTCGCAATCGGAGAATTCAAGACATCGGACGGTTCATCAGTGGAGGACTATTTCAAGCGTTTCGACTGGGCGCTCAACCTCAGCAGAATCCGGGAGGCGGACCATGCCGCATATGCTCGCGTTCATATGGGAATTGAACTGAACAACGCACTCAAATTTCTCGTCAGCCCAAGGCAACCGGAGGATTTGACATACGCTGCGATAAAAACAACATTGGTGGAACACTTCAACCGGCCGAAAAATAAGTATGCTGAAAGCATTAAATTTCGCCAACTGCGCCAGGAGCCGGAAGAGAGTATTGCGAGTTTTGCTTTGCGACTACGACAGACTGCTGCTCATTGCGAATACGGAGATTTTTTGGACCGTATGCTCATCGAACAGTTACTCTTTGGCTTGGAATCTCGCGGAATGTGCGATGAAATTATTGCGAAAAACCCGGAGACGTTTGACTACAAGGTTGCGCACACAATGGAAGCTACACACAAGACATCTGTAGAAGTGACAACGGATCCGGCCGGAACGACAATAACAACAAACAAGTTGGGTTATGTGTCAACGGGTGTAAAGAAAGGAAGCTTTCGTCAAGGCTCGAGCAACCAGGATCGTGCTCCAACATGCCATGGCTGTGGAGGCCGCCATGAGCGAAAATACTGCAAATTCCGGGATGCGGTTTGTTTTGCTTGCAACAGAAAGGGACATTTGTCGAAGGTATGTAGATCGAAGACGGCTCAAGTCAAGGAAGAACTGTCTCCATTATCGGATGAGGGATCCGATTACGCCGATCACACGGAGGCTTTGCAGAAAGTTGATGTCATCTCGTCAGTTGAACCTCTGGACAGGAAGATGCTAGAAGTTCAGATTGATGGAAAGGCTGTGAAGATGGAATTAGACACAGGGGCGCCGTGTGCAATCGTGAGCCTGTGTACGCTTCGCAAGATCAAAGTTAGTTTTCGCCTGCACAAATCGGAAAGACAGTTTGCCAGTTACACGCGGCATAGAATCCACTGCATCGGCCGCTTGCCAGTGAATGTTACGTTGGGTAGGACCTCCCGGCGTCTAGACTTGTACGTCGTAGACGGAGATTTCGATTCACTCTTCGGTAGAGAATGGATTGCGCAATTTGCATACGACATTGACTTTGTGCAGTTGTTTGGCACGGATGAGCAAGTGAACACACTTACCGCAGCGGAACCAGTAATCACCAAGCAACAGCAGCAACGGCTGTCGCATCTCATCTCACGTTTCGATGGTGTATTCGGCGAGACTGCTGGCAAGCTGGCTGGCCCTCCGGCTACTCTACATCTGAAACCAGGAGCATCTCCAGTCTTCTCAAAGGCACGGGAAATTCCATTCGCTTTACGAGATGCGTACGCCAGAGAAATAGACAAGAAAATTTCATCCGGTCTTTACAAGCGTGTGGAATCATCTGAATGGGCATCTACTACTCACGTCGTCGCCAAGAAGAATGGAACGATTCGGATTACAGGTAACTACAAGCCAACTTTGAATGCCCGAATGATAATTGATGAGCATCCAATTCCCCGTGCAAACTATCTTTTTCACAAAATGAAAGGTGCGGCGGTTTTCTGTCATCTCGATATAACCGATGCGTATTCCCATTTGACGGTTGACGATGATTTTGGTCATGCTCTAACGCTGAATACACCTACACACGGATTGATTCGACCCACACGAGCTGTATATGGTGCTGCCAATATTCCTGCAATTTGGCAACGGCGAATGGAAACGGTTCTACAAGGACTTTCGAATGTTGTGAATTTTTACGACGACATTTTGATACATGCGGCAAGCTTCGAGGAGATGTTGGATGTGCTAGAGAAAACGTTGGAGCGGCTGTGAACTAATGGACTTCGCCTAAATCGTTCAAAGTGCGTGTTCAGGGCTCCTGCTGTGGAGTTCCTGGGACATAAAATCGACGCTGCAGGAGTACATAAGTCGGACAGGCATATTGAAGCAATACGGGATGCAAAAAAGCCGTCGAGCCCCGAAGAACTACACCTGTTTCTGGGAAAGGCAACTTATTACAGCGCATTTATTCCTAACCTTTCCACACGGGACAGGCCTCTCCGAGATATGTTACTCCACGACAGTTTCAAGTGGACAGCAAGCGCCGAGACAGCGTACGCAGAAATCAAAAGTGCATTGATTTCACCACAGGTGCTAATGCAGTACGATCCGGAGCTTCCATTACTGCTAGCAACGGATGCCAGTAGTACAGGACTGGGGGCGGTGTTGTCGCATCGTCTGAGTGATGGAGTGGAAAGACCGATAGCTTATGCCAGTCGAACGTTAAGCACGACAGAGCAGCGCTACCCACAAATGGATAGGGAGGCCCTTGCGATAGTTTGGGCTGTGCAGAAATTTGTCATGTACCTGTATGCACATCACTGGACATTAATAACTGACCACAAGCCGCTGTCACAGATACTACATCCAGAAAAATCGCTTCCGACGCTTTGCATTAGCCGTATGGCCAACTACGCCGATTTTCTGGGAAACTTCGATTTCGACGTTGTTTTCAAACGAACGAAGGAAAATGTCAATGCAGACTACTGTTCCCGTGTTGTTCCAGGGTTTGGAGTAAACCTATTGAGAGAGGTGACTATCGGACGAGACGAACAGTTCGATGCATTCGATTGTTTTATGTTGCATCAAATCCAACAGCTACCAATCCATGCTCAACGAATCGCCCAGGAAAAACGGCGAGATGACGTCTTGGGCAAGATTCTTCGCGCTCTCGAGGAGGGCCAATCTTTGGAACGTGTAGGCTTCAAGTCCCCCGAAATCAACTACAAAACTGCAGCTGGATGTCTAGTATATGAACACAGGGTGGTAGTACCGCGCTCTTTGCAGGAAGCTGTACTGAAGGATTTACACGTCGGACATCTAGGAATAGTGAAGATGAAGGGGCTGGCGCGATCGTTTATTTATTGGCCCGGAATCGATGCGGACATCGAGTGCGCTGCAAAGGAGTGTCATGAATGTGCCAAAAATGCCAACGATCCTCCAAAGTTTCGCGATCACGTGTGGGAGTACCCGAAGGCGCCGTGGGAGCGCATTCATATAGATTATGCTGGGCCGTATCTTGGAGTGATGTTACTCATAATCACGGACGCGTATAGTAAGTGGATCGAGGTGAAGGTTACCATCAGCATGACCGCTAGTGCTACAATTGCTCTCCTAGATGAACTTTTTGCAGCGTATGGAATATCTACAACTATTGTTTCAGATAATGGAACTAATTTTACATCTACTGAGTTCAAGACTTATCTTCGGATGGTAGGCGTAAGGTATCACAAGTTAACTGCTCCGTACCACCCATCAACCAATGGACAGGCCGAGCGTTGTGTCCAGACAGTGAAGAATGCTTTGAAAGCAATGGATACAACGAGAAGCAACATTCAACTCAATTTGAACGAGTTTCTTCGACAATACAGAAGAGCACCTCATTCTACTACTGGTCAACCGCCATGTCAACTGTTTCTCGGTAGGAACATTCAAACACGCCTGAATCTACTGCTGCCAGCGGATCTCACTACAAGAATCTGCCAACAACAGAAAAATAAGTTGGATTCATCGTTTCGTGAGTTTGGCGTCTCCCAGCCAGTTTATTTTCGGTCTTTCAACCCACTGATGGATAAATGGGTCTCCGGTGTAATTTCGGCTCGCTTAGGAGACTTGCACTATCAGGTTGACTATAATGGCAAAAAGTGTAAACAGCATATCGATCAGCTCCAGAATCGCGTACCTGGTTTGCCGAGAAATGGCTGTGGTATGAGTGACAAACCAGATCCATATTCTTCACGATTTGCGTTGGAATCAACACCAATCGACGGTTCCACTACAGCCGGTCTTCAGGAACAGCCATCATCACCCCAGGTATCAACAAACAGTGGTGGTGAGCAGTTCACCACCCCGAGCATCACCCGCGATGCTAGCGGAGTGGTAACACCTCCAGCAGCTCCACGAAGGTCGACAAGAGCCAGGAAGCCACGAATCATATTCTCGCCAGATGGCCGTTAAAGGAGGGAAATGTGTTATGTTTTCATACACAAATCAACGTTTCTGTACACACTGGCTTCCGCACCTGAACAGACTGGCAGCACTGAGTGTTTTTGACATATGTACCTCTCTTTACCCTTCAGTTTAAAACATGTGCTTTTATCGAATAAACGTAATTTTCCTAATCAGTAATAAACGTTAGCATTACCATTATTCAATATTTGAAAGAGGTCAAGCTTCCAACGGTTTAATTAAAAATTGCCACGATTACCTGTTAAATAACCACGAGCTGCTTCTCTCAGAGAGTCTCAAAACATGTTGCGAGACAGAGCTGGCAGTGTTGCCAATATAATAGTAAAAAAGGCAATCATTGTAATAATTAAATTCAAATAGAGATTATGAAAGCCACGATCCCAATGAACTCATCAGAATTGTCCCGAGTGCCTACGAGGACATGGTCAAAACCTTATTTGAGTCAACAGTAATCATACGATCTATCAAACCATATGAGACTTAAAAATGGGGCAAAAGGAGCTAGTCTGGTCAGAGATAAGTTGTAATTGATTTCATTGGCTTCCACCACATTTATGGGTGTAGATAACTGACAGTCGCATATAAAGACAAATAACTTATAATTTCACCAGAAAATGAGGCGATTGTTGTGAAATGTGTTGTTCGGTAGTTTTTGAACTACCGACCTGTCCGGTAACTGTAAAAATAAGTGAAAAATTAAAAAAAAAAATTGGATAATTTATTCAGATCTTGTACGGACTTACAGTGTATCGCAAAATTTAGCGTACACCCTAGTGGAACACTGTTTGAAACATTCTGAATAGATATATATTTTTAATCTTGGCTGGTGGTTGAACAGATGTTTATTGATTAATCGTTTTAGTGTTGGACTTTATTGGAATAACCTGTATGAAGTAAGCTTTATTTTAATAAAACGCACGATTTTAAATTTTTTACTCAGTGAAAAATGTGAGGAGTCTAAAAGACCGAAGCTAATGTTACTTCTTTGTTCCTTTCCGTTAGCCTGTAGAGTGTAAGCTGTAGATTAGAAGTTCCGTGCGGTCCACTTGTTGTGTGTGCCAAATTCGTAGAAAGGTAAGGTGAATAATGTCTTTTGTGTGGAGATGTATCTGTAATGTGTCGAACAGCCGTTCGACGGCTTTTTGTGTGTTTGGAGTTTGCACCGCATTGCTTCTAGCGATAGATGGCTTTGCTTGGCACACCGCAATCGAGGAATTTAATCGCGTTCTCTAGACCCCACGCTTCAACGTCAAGGTTCCCGGTTCGGGGGAGAGTTTGGAATGGAGACACCGTTTAACTGTTCTCCGGCAGAGCGTTGGCCAAATCCGCCAATATCAACCACGTGAACCCACGTACATTATTCGTCTTCGACGATCCCCTCGTTGACATTTGCGCCACCGGCAGTCGGCGCTAGTTTCAGTACCAATTCGAGAGTTCTATTGGGAATTTCCGCATCATACCAGTCCGGGGTGCAATGTGCAACACCACCACCGTTTGAATAGGGTGCTACGTTGTCGACCCCTCCGACAAAGGGATGCTTCTGTGCCGACACGGATGAAGCAGCGACGACAGTGATTACCGCGAGTAAATGAAACGCATTCGAATCTCCACACACACCAACACATGACTTACTTTACTTAAGGGTCCTGTGCACCACCAGCGGTGCAAAGGGCCAACGTGAAAGACTTCCATCCTGGGCGGCTGCTCGCTTTTGCCTTGACCTGGGCCCAGGTTAGATGCTTATCGACTTGCTTAATTTCCTTATTGAGGCTCCACCGCCATGAGCCCCTGTGTCTGCCTCTGCTGCGATGTCCTGCCGGATGCCAATCCAGCGCTTGCTTGCAGATTTCGTTTCCACCCGTCGAAGTGTGTGGCCGACCCACCTCCACTTTTGCTCTCGAATTTCTGTTGCTATCGGCTTCTGATGACATCGACGATGGAGCTCGGCATTTGAGATCCAGTTGTGAGGCCACCAGGCATGAATTATATACCCCAGGCATCGGTTGATGAAGACCTGCAGCTTTTGAGTGTTCTCCGCTGATACACACCACGTCTCACTGGCGTATAACAACACAGATTTCACGTTCGAGTTGAAAATTCGGATTTTGGTGCGTTGACTTATCTGGTTGGATCTCCATACGCTTCGCAAACTCGCAAAGGCAGCCCTAGTCTTCTTGATTCGTGCACCTATATCGCTCTTGGTCCCGCCGTCCGACGCTATCTGGCTGCCTAGATATTGGAAACTTTCGACATTCTCCACTGCTTGCCCCGCTACCGTAAAATTGGAAAGGTTGCCCGTGTTGATATCCAACGATTTGGTCTTGTTGACGTTGATGGTGAGACCCGCCGCAGAGGAGCGTTCGGCTAGGTTATTGAGCTTACTCTGCATATCAGAGCGCCGTTGTGCTAGTAGAGCAACATCATCAGCCAAATCGAAGTCGTTGAGATGCTCCATGGTGATAGGCTGCCAAAGCAGTCCACGGTTCAGTACATGGTCAATTGCACCCACCATGATCTCGACGATTACGATGAGGAACAGTAGCGGTGATAGTATACATCCTTGTCTCACACCAGCGACTACCCGTATAGGGTCGGACAAGGCTCCGTTATGCAGAACTTTGCACGTGAAAGCCTCATACTGCGCTTCGATGAGGTTGACGATTTTATCCGGGACTCCCTTGCGTCTCAGGGCGCCCCACAGGTTTTCGTGATTGAGACGGTCGAAAGCTTTTTCGTTGTCAATTAATACCAAATTAAAGGACTCTTGGAATTCATTGACCTGCTCCAGGATGATGCGGAGCGTGACAATATGGTCCACACACGATCTTCCGGCACGGAATCCTGCCTGCTGCCGTCGGAGAGTCACGTCGATCTTCTCCTGTATCCGATTCAGGATAACTTTGCACAGAACTTTGAGGGTAATACACAGTAACATGATGCCTCGCCAATTGTCGCACACAGTCAGATCTCCCTTCTTTGGGACCTTCACTAAGATGCCCTGCATCCAGTCGGCCGGAAAAGTCGCGGTGTCCCAGATATTACAGAATAGTTGATGCAACATTTGTGCGGATGGCATGGGGTCAGCTTTGAGCATCTCTGCTGATATGCGATCGATCCCTGGAGCCTTGTTGGATTTCATGCTTCGGATAGCTGCTTCAATCTCCTGCAGTGATGGGGCCTCGGAATTGACGCGAGTGATGCGCCGCACCCTAGGCGGATCATGCCGAGATGTTGATGGCTGGTTGGCCGTTGAAACTTGAAGAAGTTGTTCGAAGTGCTCAAACCAGCGTTGCAGCTGGTCAGCGGGGTCGGTAAGCAATTTTCCAGTCGTGTCCTTCACTGGCTCTTCTGGTTCTCGCCCGCTTTATCGCGGCACCAACACATGAGCTCGAAGAAAATTAATAAGTTAGGCTAGCAATCGCTAGAACCAGATCAGGAAACCGCACACACGATTAAGGAGAGCTAGCAAACAAACGAATAAATGGAATAGGTACAAGTGCCATGAATAAAAACATAGGTTAGGAACACGAAGAAATCATATAATGATTTACGTTAAATTACGGCTAAATACCTGAAATAAATGTTGTTTTCGTAAAGTAAAAGCTTTCCCCGTAATGTTAATTTTTGTTGGCTAGATTCTTCACATTTCGGTCGTTCTATTTTGCGTAATTTTTTTGTAGTATTTCTTTGTTGTGGTTCAATTTACTCCAGGTTGGACTGCCTGGGAAAACAGTCTCCGCACTCACGTGTCAGGATCGGGGGAGGAAATCTGGAAGGGGAAAGTTACTCCAGTCTGCTGAATCGCTCTCAAACTAAACTTCGGTCTCTTCCATTCACAAACCCGCCTGAGGTTGGGTTTCTTGCCGGGCAAATCAAACCTTGATGAGTGGTCCTCTTCGGAGGTGGCACTTAAGCCACTCGGTATAGAAACAGGAAGCGTATTCGGTGGTCGAGATCTTGCAGGCTGCGAGTCGTGCGTTACACATTTTTCGAAAGTTTTTTTTTTTCTTCCGGAAATTTGAAAAGTATTTATTTTAGCTGATTTATGGAGATATTTCCTCTCGATTGGTGTATTTGGATTTTAATTTAACCTATAAATTACGCAGTTATAAACGTACAAAACCTAACACCTTTTCGTGACGGTCGCAATTTTAGATTTAAAGTCTACGCCAAAAATTTTGTTTCGCTGCGCCATCTTTTTGGCTAAGCCTTGAACTATTTGTATCCACTAAATTATAGTCCTAATCAATCCAAGAAACTTTACTGAAGACGTCAACTCAATAAGATGCAATCCCAGAGCGTATTTTTTTTCCTACTAGATATAATTCCTGGCCCACTGTGCACTGTATGCAATGCATTTGAGGAACAAACTTCTTTCGAAACACAAGCTATCATTTTCCGGTTGGGCTACACCCAAATACGTTTGTTGTAAGCTACAGTTACAAAAATTGGTTTCTGATGCTTTTTTTTAAAGTGGTGGACTTGAGTAATTCTGTCTACAAACGTGTTTCGGATGGCAAAATATGAGTTCACTTTAACATTCTGTCATCAATATCCAGTCATTTATTTTTCCGACAGAAAAACTCAGAACTATGTTGGATAAAAATCTTCTGTTTGTCGTTGATGAATTGATTTCCGACGCGACTGGTAGCATGGAAAAAGATCTATTGAAAGTACCAACAACAACACTCTTAAAGCCGTGATTTCCGTTTAAGTCAGCAGTAAGATCGGAAGTAGGTTCGGAACTCAGTCTTCCGAGCATTATTTTAGTGCTGGTGAAGCAATATACAGCACGAAAGCTTCATTTAAAATTAACAAGCTTAAAATCCTTCTGGGTCAGCCACATCCAAGTTCGCATAATCGACGAAAATAGGTTTTGTCCAATCCTTCGATCCAAATCAGTTACTTTACCCTGTGCGCACGCCAGTCATTCCGTGTCGACCGTAGTTAAATGTGTGCAGCATTAAAAGTTTATTCCTCGGGTTAAT